TGGCTGCAACAGACTGTGTTGGAAGATGCGTATAATCAGACTTTTCCATGCTATCCCTTCTCCTCCTACGTAATAGCGAAACCTGCAGAACCACAGCGACAATTTTCTTAAGTTTAAGTACTTCAAACATGGACCGTAGACTTGAATATCTAGGATGTCTGCCTATTAATAACGTTTCTTCTCGCGGTTCATATCGCATTGTTAATTTTTATGACATTTTGAGGCTTCTCAGGGATAACCATACTTCTGGTACTCGTTCCGGTGGATAGGTTAAAATAGGAAACTCACAAGATCACCTTAAAGGGAATTTGGTCTCTAATTCCGAAGGCTGACAAAGTTATAAGTAGTTCCCTCGAAAAGGCCAATGTGTTATCCACGCCCCATTCGCTTACACTTAAGCCATATTCCTGTTACCTGTTATTTTGAATAAGTCCAGGATATATTGAGTAAATAGGCTACAAAACACCTGGTGTACTGACAGTGGCTTGCTGTGACTGTGGGTTGAGTTGTCATTGGATTCCCAGGATGACATTATTTATAGAAATAATAAGGACATTTTCTGGCATAGGTTACGGTTTTGAGTGAAATGAACAGCTTTTTAGTTGCCAACAGTTGATCTCAATTTCTGTCATCATGATTAATGAAGAAGGTCACATATTCCGTTCTCTGGAGGCCTGAAATTCTTCAGTTAATCTGCCGGGTGTGATTGAATCTGTACTCTCTTCTCCAGACTTCGTAAATACTAGCCTGTTATCGATCCGAGCCAATACGCTGGCGACCTTGTAGCCGTGTCTGCCATTTTGTATACCTCCTACTAGAATTAGAATAAGTAAGGCAAACTATGTATTTTGGGTGGAGAATACGCTTACCCTGCAGCTACGGAAGGGGGTATTATCGATTAATTCACACGGCCGGCTGAAGTGTATGGCTGAAATAACTATGACACAGATTGCACCACGACAATTAGAGTAGGGGGGAGGCATGCAGTTCCATTTGATCTGGGAGATAAGGTGGCTTAATTTGATCCCTCCGTTCTGCAGAATTTTGGTTATTAAAATGTCATCATGAAAAGGACTTTCATTTTTACTGTATTTTACTTCCTTAGTGGAGTTATGAATGCAAAAAGAATTCTCAATCTTTTTGAAATTAAACATTCATGCAAACATTATAGTCAGTACTAAAGAAAAGGTCGCTTCTTTTTACAATCAGATTGACACCACTGACATGAACCTCCGTGGCAGTAAATACGGACGCTGGGCAGCCTACTCGGAATCAAAGTTGGCCAATGTGATTCACGCCAAGCAGTTGGCCCAACGGCACAAAGATGACGGTATCATTGCCGTTAGTGTTCACCCAGGTGTGGTGAAGACGGATCTCTGGAAAGGCTACTTGGTAAGTATTCTGGCAAGCAAAACTCCACAGTTTACTGTTCATCTACTCCTCTAAAGTATTGGACCTGAAAGCGACATGCCATTGCAAGTACCCTTCTAAGACAAAAAACCTGATAATCAGGGCTTCCTTACGAGAAGCAGTCTACAAGGGCGCAGTGACAAGTAATGCAACGTAAAAGGCATTGTGAAGTAGCTATTGTACAGTAAAACGATGGACCTCAGTTCGTTTAGGTTATGTTTAATGTTATGAGACAAATCAGCAAAATAGGCCTAAATGGAATTCAGACAGGGAAACAAA